GAGGTTTACAAATAAGTGTAGGGAATAATATAATAAACGTCTTTTTGCTTAATGGGATACCTGGGTGGCTTAGTCAGTTAAGTGGCTAACTCTTGGTTTTGGCTTAGGTCATGATCTCAGGGTCCTGGGATCAAGCCCTATGTAGGGTTCTGCCTACAGCAGGGAGTCTGCTTGTGGATTCTCTCTCTCTGTCTGCCTCTGCCCCAACCCTGGCTAATACACATGCACATGATCTCTTTCAAATAAATAAATAAATAAATATGTCTTAAGAAAAAGAACACTTTTGGCCTTGTTTATTTTAAGTTTCTTTTCCTTTCTTCTTTTATTTTTTTTTCTTTCTTTTTTGTTTCAAATTTTTACCTGAATTCTAGTTAGTTGACATATGGTGTAATATTAGTTTCAGGAGTAGAATTTAGTGATTCATATAACACCCAGTGCTCATCTTAATAAGTGCCTTCCTCAGTACCCATCACCATTCTCTCCAGAGGTAACCACTATCCTGAATTTGGTGTTTAACATTTCAATAAGGATTTATAAATTATAAATAAATTAATACATTATAATTTACCAATTATGTAGTTAATAACTACAAACAATATATGGGATTATTATGTATGTTGTAAAGACAAGTAAATGGTATCACACTATATATACATGTTTTACAACTATGTCATTAAATATTCTACTTTGGGAACTTGTTCATATTGATGTGGATATATATATGTAATCAAGTAGAAACAGAAAACTTTTCCCTTCATCCCTTCTAGATTCTTTGGCTGCCCTGATAATTAAATTGACATAAGACAGGGTAACAGGAGAAAAATTTAGTTTTGTATGTATGGGAGCCCCGTAAAAATATGAAACTCAAAAGCAGTAGGCAGTTCAGGTTTGTATACTGTCCTGAACTAAGGAGAGGCAGGTAGGGAAGAAGGTAATTCACAGGGAGACAAGAAGAGCAAATGGTTTCCATGCCACACAGACAAGTCTTTCTGATTCAAAAAGTGATCTCTGATAATAGCGCTCTCCCATCTAAATTCTTTTAGACAGTTAAGGGAGAGGGACAAAAAACTTCCTGAGTCTGCTAGGCCTTGATTGCCCTCAGCTCAAAATCATCCACATGCCAAAGGGACATATTTTGGGGTGTTATATTCTGCCCTCTCCATATACATGCCATAAATTTTAACTGCTGCATAGCATTCTAGTATACTGATATTTCTCTATTCTTCTGTTGAACTTTTAAGTTGTTTATGACATTTTGGTAACTCTTGTGTGCTTGCCAAATTGCTTCCTAAGTGGTTACCAGTTTAGACCTTATTGCTTCATGTCATCCCCAACACTGGATATGGTTAGAATTTAGTGCTTTCTAATCTGATGGTTATGAAATGAAATTTCATTGTGTTTTAATTTTCTGTTCCCCTGAGAATCATTTTAAAAATGCCACTTGGCCATTCAGATTGCTATTTTGGAAAATTTTCTTTTTATAAGTTTGGCTGTTTTTTCCTAATTTGATATTTGTAAGTTCTTTATACAATCTGGCTATTAGTCAGTTGTCTGTAGGCATTGCAAAAAAAAAAAAAAAAAAGTTTTATCCTAGTCTGTGTCCTCTCTTTTTTATGGTTTGAGAGTGTCTTTTGATTTACAGACACTTAGAATTTGATTATAGTAAGATTAATTAATTTTTTCTTTGAGGTTCTTATATTTCTTTTTTAAGACTTCCATCTACTTCGAAGTCATAAAAATATTGTCCTATATTTTCTTTAACATTTAAAAGTGTTTGGCTTACCACACTTTAGGTCTCTAATTCCCTTGGAACTGATGTTGCATATGATATATGAAATGGAGGTATAATTTTTTTTCACATGGAAAAGCAATAATGGTGGAACTATTTATTGAGAGGTTTTCTTTCCCCACCAAGATGCAGAGTCATTACTGTTATATGTCAGGTGTGTATGGGTCTGTTTCTGGATATTCCATTGCTCTATGTGTCTGTTCTTACAACAATTCCATACTGTCCTAAATATAACTTTGTAATACCTTTTGATATCTGATGACATTCCTCTTCCTTTTTTAAAAATTTATTTCTTTTCAGCATAACAGAATTCATTGTTTATGCACCACACCCAGTGCTCCATGCAATAGTGCCCTCCATAATACCCACCACCTGGCTCCCCCAACCTCCCACCCCCCACCCCTTCAAAACCCTCAGATTGCTTTTCAGAGTCCACAGTCTCTCATGGTTCATCTCCTTATTATTTTTTTAATGAGTTTTTTTTTAAATTTATTTTCAGCATAACAGTATTCATTGTTTTTGTACCACACCCAGTGCTCTATTCAGTCCATGCCCTCTCTAATACCCACCACCTGGTTCCCCTAACCTCCCACCCCCCCCACCTCTTCAAACCCTTTAGATTGTTTTTCAGAGTCCATAGTCTCTCATTGTTCACCTCCCCTTCCAATTTCCCCCAACTGCCTTCTCCTAACTCCCCATGTCCTCCATGCTATTTGTTATGCTCCACAAATAAGTGAAACCATATGATAATTGACTTTCTCTGCTTGATTTATTTCACTCAGCGTAATCTCTTCCAGTCCCGTCCATGTTGCCACAAAAGTTGGGTATTCATCCTTTCTGATGGAGGGTTCATCTCCTTATTTAAAAATTATCCTAGTCATTAAAAAAAAAAGATTTTATTTATTTGTTTATTTGACACAGAGCACAAGCGGGGGAGTGGGCAGACAGAGGAAGTGGGAGAAGCAGGCTCCCTGCTGAGCTAGGATCCTTATTTGGGACTCAATCCCAGGACTCCTGGGATCATGACCTGAGCTGAAGGCAGACGCTTAACCATCTGAGCCACCCAGTTGCCCTGTCCTGGTCATTTTTAATTCTTTATTCTTCTATATAAAAAAAATTGGCATTAGTGTGTCAAGTTTCACAAAAAGCCTTGTGAAGACTTTAAACAAAATCAACTTTATTGAGATATAGCTTTCATATGATAAGGTGCATTTATAGAACAATTCCATCACTCTTGTTCTCCCTTGTGTTCCTATTTATAGCTGATTCATAAGTCATTAGTTCTACCCCCATTCCTAGTTAACTACTGATCTACTTTCTTTTTTAATCTTCAGTAAGTTTCATGTAAGTGGAATCACATTGTATGTACGTTTTCGTGTCTGGCTTCTTTTGATCAGTATAATGTCATTGAAGTTCATCCATCATGTATATCAATAGTTCGTTCTTTTTTCCTTCTTAAATAGTGTTTCATTGTATGGCTGTACCACCATTTGTTTATCTATTCATTGGTTGCACTTGGGTTGTTTCTAGTTTCAGGCTATTATTATTAAAACTGCTATGAACATTCATGTAAAAATCTTCATGTGGACATATGTTTCATTCCACCTAGGAGTGGAATTGCTGGGTAATATAGTCAGGTATAGTAACCTTATAAGAAATTGCTACACTATTTTCCAAAGTGACTATGTCATTATTTTTTTCCCACTTGTTATATCTACGCTTGGCATTGCCAGTATTTTTATTTTTGGCCATTCTAATGGTATGTAGTAGTATCTTACTATGTTTTAACTTGCATTTCCTTAATGATTAGTGACATCATGTATCTTTTCATGTACCTGTTGGCCACTTGTACATATTTTTTCATTCAGATTTTGCTCATTCTTAAACTGAATTGTTTGTCTTATCCCTAAAGTTTAAAATTCTTTATATAGTCTGGGTTGTTTGTGAAGGATAGGACCTTAGAAAATAACTTTCTGAGTTAGTTTCTAGTCTGACCACCTATGCATGAGAAGTGAAATGAAGCAGAGATGACACAGACCTCAGTATTTGGTCATGATTATTTATTATCAATTTTATGCAATCCAGTTATTGGATCCAAAGACTTGAAACAAATATTTTATAGTCAAGCCAAAATCTATATAGCAGTGGCAGATAGTCTTCCTTTCCATCTGGGCACAAATGATATTTTCCTATGTAGAAAGACCAATGAACTATAAAAATAGGTTGGAGACCATGCTATTGCTCTTCCTTTTTTAACCTGGGGCAAATTCTTAGGAGTAGGGGGCAAGAACTTTCTTGCTGAAACCAAGTTAGAATCCACATTTGGATTCCTTTATCCTGCAGGGTCCATCCCTGCTGTTTAAGAAAGAATGCTCTCACTCACTGGCAAGGGAGAAGCTCTTGGTCCCATTTTTTAAATGACACTTGTTAAACTTACTTATTAAGGACTTACCCAAGAATAGGGTCTTGGTGGTTTTGATAAGTAAGGAAACAACCAACATTACATTTTTTGCTTTTAGAATATTCTCCATTCTGTCACCATCCAATGTGGGGGATACCACAACTATGGTCCCTCCATGTTGCTATAAGAGAGGCTTTGACCCCAGAACTGGTAATGCATTTCTAATACTTTGTTCTTTAGACTTACACTGAAAACTTTTGTAATGAACTCTCAAAAAGGTACCTCAACTAAACCCCATGCTTCTCATATGCTTTGTATTATTCTTTTAAATTTATTCCCACACATAATTTGTTCAACTCAATATTTCCTAACAAAGTGCCCACATACCCTACATTCTTCTGAGGAAAACTTAATAACAAGGAATAGAGTACATGTTTAGAGGAAGAAATAGATATACTTGCTTTTAAAAGGAGTTTTATAATGAATTGCTTATCTGTAACATTTTTGTATTTCTTGAATGGCTACTTGAATTAATTTCACTTATATTTATTATTCATCCCTAGAATTGGCACCTCTGCTCTTGGATATATTTATAGAGTGGTGTGCTACTAGGGAAACTGTGGGAACTTGGGCTGGTACTTCCCCCTGCACAATTATCTCCTCCTCTCCTATAACAATAGTCACCTTGTCTATTACCCTCCTTGCAAATTAACAGTGTATTGGTAGTGTTGGATCTAGAATGTCCATAGGAGGGTGTAAATTGTCTAGAACCACAACTTGATGAGCTTACTTCTTGTCTATAACTGCTTCTTATTTGTTCTTCATTACAATTTGAATGGATACAGTCAGATGGACCTTGGCTCCATCCTTGGCTTTGTTGCCTACATGTTCTTGATTGTCCATGAATACTCTCATATCCATCAGGCCCAATACCTGAAAGGCCATAACTCTTACCTCCTTCTTTTTGGCCAGACTCTGACCATTCCTGGCTATTGCTTCTTGATTGATTAGGGATCGAGCACATTTTGGGTCTACTGTATTCATTACGAGTTTCACTTGAACTTGATCTACATCTCCCTTGTATTTCATGTTGCTCATAGCTAGAACACTGACCAGATTCAGAACCACATTGCCCAGAGCTAGATGGGTGACATGAACAAGATCTGTACTGTTCAGAGTGAGAATACTGACCAGATCCAGAACCACATTGTCCAGAGGTAGATGAGTGACATGAGCCATACCCATATTGCTCAGAGCTAGAACACTGACCAAATCTAGAACCACACTGCTCAGAGCTAGATGAATGGCATGGTCCAGACCCATATTGTTCAGAATGGGAACACTGACCTGAGCCAGACCCATGTCGGCTGTGACTAGAAGATCTACTTGAGCCAGACCTGTGTTGGCCATAGCTAGAAGACTGACCTGATCCAGACCCATGTTGCCCAGAGCCTGAAGACTGACCTGATCCAGACCAATGCTGGCCATAGCCAGAAGACTGACCTGATCCAGACCCATGCTGGCCATAGCTAGGATACTGACTGGATCCAGACTCATGTTGTCCAAAGCCAGAAGACTGACCTGATACAGACTCATGTTGGCCATAACTAGAAGATTGGCTGGATCCAGACCCATGTTGCCCAAAGCCAGAAGACTGGCCTGATCCGGACCCATGTTGGCTGTAGGTAGAAGACTGACTGGATCCAGACCCATGTTGCCCAAAGCCAGAAGACTGACCTGATCCAGACCCATGTTGGCCATAACTAGAAGACTGGCTGGATCCAGACCCATGTTGGCCAAAGCCAGAAGACTGGCTTGATCCAGACCCATGTTGTCCATAACTAGAAGACTGACTGGATCCAGACACATGTTGTCCGAAGCCAGAAGACTGGCCTAATC